TACTTTTGATTCAGTGCTCTTTCCGATTGCTTTGAGCTTTTGGTCCTCTGAGTATAACACCTTTATTTTTCCTCTTGGCCCCATGTCTATTAGGTTAAGGGATGTTGGGGCCTTGGTAAATTTACCACCTTTGGGCGATACCATTTTCCCAGGTATCTTAGTTTCTGGTGGCGCCCCACAGTTCAGTAAAAACTATACCGATTCTTATTCAAGCCTGCAGACACTCCACAACCATTCGAGTGCTGAGCCTACTCATGCTGAGCGAGTGGCTTTCCTTTTAGTTTGGCTTTGTAAATATGTGTTGTGCGTGCCTAGTATAAAGCCCTCTCTGAGTTATCTACCTATAGCGCACGAACTGGCGCGTGGCAGGCCTTTGAATTTATGTTCTTTGTTTTTGGCTGCTCTTTATAGAGGTATGGCTTTTCTTCAGGCTCAATTGAAGAATGGTGCATCTCCTACTGGCAGTGGACCTCTTTGGTTCACTCAATTGTGGTTGAGATCCTATTTTCCATCGCTTGGTGCTCCATCCATTTCTCGTCCTTCTGCTAGCTGGTACGGGCTAGCTATGGAGCCCTTAACTCCTGTAAGTATGTCTAGAAGGGACATTTTTTCATTCTTTTATTCTTTAGATTCAATCTCTTCCTTCTTTCCTTTTCCTCCTTTTTTGACTCCAAACTATGTACATCCTCCTTCCACTCTAGATAGCGCGAGCACCTCTCTGCTCATTTGGATTCAATTCTTAACTGGGAGGGAGCTTTTCCACGATATCTTAACTGGGACCAATGCCAAAGCAGGGGTAGAAATTTATGCTCCCCAATTTTTTGCCCGGCAACTTGGTTTCGGCCAAACTTGGCCTGTTCCTCTTTGCTATTCGAAGAACTTAAACGACCGTTTTCATACCATTAATAAGGTGGAAGCAGAGGCTATAAACGCTCGCAACCTCCATTTATCAAGCCATTTTTCATTAGCCCCTTTTAATCCTTGTCATGCTACTCACCCTTTTTTCGAACAACTTTGGCCATCGGTGAAGCGCAGATTATTTGCGACTGAGGCCAATCGTGCCTTTCATTCATTAGACCAACCGAGTATTTCTTCTCCTCCTCCTGTTTTGGTCACTCCTTTGTCTATTCGGAACCCCTCTCCTTCTCGTCGTACTAAACAATCTGCTCGTCCATCTTCTTCTCTCCCTGCCAGGCCAACTATGGCCAAGAGTGCTCCAAGCCGCAAACAGCCAGCCTTAGCATCTCCCATTCTGGAGGATGATGTTGATGATGATGATGATGATGTCCCTCTTATCGTTAAGAGGAAGGTAATTAAATTAGTCTATTTACAAGTATGCTCTTCCCCATTTGGAATTTTTCTGTGTACTGATTATCTTTTAGACCTTTCAGAAAAGCTCAGCTTCCCCTTCAAAGGCTTTGGCATTACAACTCCTGCTCCATCATCCTCTGTTGAGGCTACTTCATCCAAACCGGTTGATGATGTGACCATGCTTAAAGATACATCTTCAGTCCCAGATTCTTCATCACAACCCATGAATGAGCCACCTTCCTCCCAGGGCGCCGACCCCCCAATCATCGAAGCAGAAGGTAATTCAGTTTTTGATGTCTTACCTTTGCTCGTGCTATTGGTTTCTGACTGATTGCTCTTTGAACTTTGCAGATACTCCCATGAGTCCGCCCGTTGTGGCAATATCTTCTCGCTCAGACAAGGGGAAGTCCTCACGAATGGGTGAGTCGTTGGTGGCCAGCTTGGCTGAGGGTGCGCCATCTTCTACGATTGTCGATGAGGTAGTTTTTCTTCTTGCTCCATTCCTATTTCCAACTTGTTCGTTGTAGCGAATATTTTTAATGTTGGCAATCTTCTTTGCAGGATGCTGACAGGATTGTGCGTTCTATCCAGGACTTGTTCGCTTCATGGGGGCAGGTCCAAATGCCTCGCCCTGCTCCATCTGATCGTCCTGCTTCTTCTTCAGAAGAGGACTTGAAGTTCTTGAAGGAGTTGGTATTTGAATACGTGTCCTTCATGGACATGGACATTGGAAGGGCTAGTGCTGCCAGACACAAGGATGAACTTGAGCGCTTGAGTGCGAAGTTAGAGCAAGCACTGACGCTTCCGTCGCTCAATCTTTCTGCCGACTTTAAAGCGACGTTGAAGGTCATTCACTCCGAGGTCCTTACTATGCTGGCCAAGAATGCTGAACTCAAGGCCAAGCGTACTCAATATCTTCGAGTCGTAGCTGAGAAAGAGTCTCTGCGCTTGGAGATCAACAAGGCTAAGGACGAGTTGAAAGAAATCTCTTCCGAAGTCATGATTGAAGACTCCTTGATGGTTAACTTGGCTGCTCAGATGAGGGAACTTCAAGCCAAAATGGACGATTGTAGGGCGAGGATGGCCGCTAAAAAGCGCAACGCCTCTCAGGGAATTGAGCGAACTAAATCCTTGGTCGAACAGTACAAGAAGCTGGAGGTTGATGATGATGACGTTGCGGCCGAATTGAACATCACTACCTCTCGACAGAGCGAGGATTGGAAAAAACTTAGGGAACGAATTCGTTCCTTATGGGGTAGAATGTAATTAAGACACACGATGTCTTTTCTTTTTTGTAATTTTGTTCCTTATTAATGAACATTAATTTCTTGTGCATTTATTTGATGTTTATTTTCTAATCATCAATTCTTTAAGCATTTAACTGCTTTGCATCAAGGATTTTGTCCATTTCCTCTTGATATTCCCACTACTGTTCCCAAGACTTAGGGCCATTTAATTCCGTCTATTAGACAGAAATGTGGCTGTTCATATTCTGTCTCTTCATCTTCACCCACCTATAAATGTTTAGCATTTTTCATCGTCTATCTTCATCTCCTCATTTTCTTATTCGAAACCAATTTGCTGCCATTTCTTGGCATTCTGACGATCAATCTGATCCAAGAATGGACTGTTTAGTCCGTCTGCCTTATATTTACTTTGATGTCACCTTTGGTATGGGAGGTATAGGAAATGTTTTCTGGCCCGCAGCGAAATTTTTACCTGCGAAGTTCTTCCCATCGTCTCTTTGTTCTTCACAAAGAGTCAATGATGGAAGGCAGTTTTTGGGCTGCTCATGGGTCATTTTGCTTGCTGAGAGTGCTTCTCAGCTTGCCTGCTGAGAGTGTTTCTCAGCCTGTTTGCTCACTTTTGCAGCGATGCATTTAGGAAGGTGGTGAGGTCAGTACACCCTCTCATTCGTCAATCCCACCCCTGCAGCGATGCATTTAGGAAGGCAGTGTGAAGCTTACTCAGTGATCGACTAGGAGATCATCTTACTTTAGTTGTATTTTGTAACACGCCTATTACTTGTATCTTTTATATTCTTGTAATGAACGTTTGGTAATAAAGAACTTTATTTGAACGTATTTCG